AGAGAACCTTTTGATAAGTCACTTAGCCTCTGTTGTTCTTAGTTTCCTTATCTGAAAAGTGAGAGATTTGGAAATGATCCCCATGGCCCCTTTCAGATCAAAGTCTTTGGGAGTCCACTTGTTCCTCTCCTTAAAGGTTCCTCCTGAAAGCTGTTTCTATTATAGGTTGTCAATTATTCATATTTTCTAACATACTTCAATCCATATGTTCCGAGTCCCTCAAAGACTTGCTTCTGTGACTTAACTCTTTCTTTCTCTTCACTCTGATTTGTTTTCCTTTCTCGTGGCTTGGTCTTCCTTCCTTCTTTCCTTTCTTCCTTCCTTCCTTCCTTCCTTCCTTCCTTCCTTCCTTCCTTCCTTCCTTCCTTCCTTTCCCTTTCTCATCATGCTCCCTCACCTTTGCTCTTTGTCCCTAATTTCCAATTCTTTGTTGATTTATTGATTTTATTTCAAATGACCAACTTCAGGATCTTCAGAGCTTTAACACATTGTTCCTATAATGTTTTTCTTACACACACACACACACACACACACACTCACACACACTCCTTCTTGCCCCCACCCTAGCCATCTCCCACTGCCAGCCAGGCTCAGGGCCCTCCTAGCCTACAACCTCCCTTTCCTTTATATATATATATATATATATATATATATATATATATATATATACACACATATTTTTTTTTTTATTGATTTTGTACAGAGAGGAAGGGAGAGAGATAGAGAGCTAGAAACATCGATGAGAGAGAGTCATGGATCAGCTGCCTCTTGCACACCCTCTACCGGGGATATGCCCGCAACCAAGGTACATGCCCTTGACCGGAATCGAACCCGGGACCTCTCAGTCCCCAAGCCGACGCTCTATCCATTGAGCCAAACCGGTTTCGGCTCCCTTTCCTTTTCCACTCTCTTGTCCTCTTCACAGATTCTGTTTCTCTTTAGTTAACATGAGTAACATGGAGAAATGAAGGTAAGCAAAAAGAATAAGTTCTACCCATCCTCTTATGGATGTTTAACCTCCTGCCATCCTTTCAGAATGAACTCTGAAAAGAAACACCAGACAAGAATCAATCTGAAGGGCGGTCCTTGATCTTCACTCCCTGCCTCTGCCACTAAAACACCATGGCAACTGCCACCTGAAAGAGGCCAGGCTGAAGAATCATCTAATGAGACCAGGGTTGTTTGCCAGTGCTTTCTTACTTAGTGAAGTGTTGCAAAGGGCACTTTGTCCTTCCTCTTGATTGCTTTGCTCCCTTAATGCTAGTAAGGCAAAAAACATAGGAGAGTATATGGAATTAAAAGAAGCATGTGTTGTCAATACCCTGTTTCCCTGAAAATAAGACAGTGTCTTATATTAATTTTTCTCTCAAAGTTGTGCTAGGTCTTATTTTCGGGGAAACACGGTATTAATTGAAGGTCTTCACATTTTCTTTGGGAGTTGAATGTTTGTGCCATCATCCAGGTCTGTGGCCAGAAAACGAGGCCTATAACAGACGAAGAAATCAGCAGAATGACAATAAAGTGCCACTTTGTGTTGAAGAAAAAAAGAAAGAAAAACCCATGGGCTGTCCAAATAGGCATTGCTTGGGCAAATTTCAACCAGCCATTTATCAGCGATGAGACTTTGAGCAAGAAAGCTACTTTGCTTCTCTAATCTCAGTTTCCTCATTTGTAAAATGGGGTGTTCTGCATGTCTAAGATGAGGATTATATAAAGCTTCCTTGGCAAAGTTATTTTATTTTTTTAATATATTTTATTTATTTTTTTTACAGAAAGAAAAGGAGAGGGAGAGAGAGTTACAAACATTGATGAGAGAGAAACATCAACCAGCTGCCTCCCCTACTGAGGATGTGCCCGCAATCAATGTACATGCCCTTGACCAGAATCGAACCTGGGACCTTTTAGCCAGAAGACTGACGCTCTATCCACTGAGTCAAACTAGTTTCGGCCAGCAAAGTTATTTTAAAGAGTAAATGAGCCGAAACCGGTTTGGTTCAGTGAATAGAGTGTCAGCCTGCTGACTGAAAGGTCTCAGGTTCAATTCTGGGCAAGGGCATGTACCTTGGTTGTGGGCACATCCCAGTTTGGGGCATGCAAGAGGCAGCTGATTGATGTTTCTCTCTCATGTATGTTTCTAACTCTCTATCTCTCTCCCTTCCTCTCTGTAAAAAAAATATCAATAAAATATATATTTTTTTAAAAGAGTAAATGAGATTATGTATTTAAAGGGCTGTGATTATGTTTACATCAAATTTACATGCTAGGTCCCTTAGTTTAGCTCTTTTGCAATTAAAATTTCTATACAAACTAGTAAAAGAGAAAAGCTAAGAGCAGAGGATTGTCCTGAGAGAAAAGGCCTGGATCCCCACACAACCATAGTTGTATTTTGAGGGCAAAGCCATTATGAAGCTCTTTAAATAAGTTAAAACTGTATTAATTTTTACATCAACAAACGTTTGGCCAAGAGTAGTATATACATTGGAGGGGCATGTTATATATTTGGATCTTCTACCAGGTTCCTTTCACGTTACTTGGATTTCCTTGCAACCACACTGTAGTCCCCAAAGAATCTAGAGCCTATGGTTTAGGAACCACCAGTCAAGTGCAACTGCCTCAAACTTAACTCTGCAAAAGAATCATTTAAGAGCTTGTTTAAAAATCTTAGTGGCCTACCACCAGAGATTCTGATTAAATAGATCTGGGGTAGAGGCCAGGAATGTGATAAATTCTCCATGCATTTTCCGTGAATCCAGAGGAGTGTATAGAATTAGCACTCCAGACCTGCTCCTCATTTCTCTCTTCCAAGGATTTCATTCCAATCAATCACCTTCTCTTTGTTCCTCACAATTCTAGGCTTCTTTAATTGGAGTGATGTGCCGACATCACAAAACAATGTGTAGGAAACTCTCTGAAAGTCAAACATAGTGACTGGCTTTCTTTTAAAGAGCAACAACATATCTTTGCTTTTTATAAGACTTAATGCTGACATTGAAAATACCCTAGCACCCATTTTAACTAATTTAGAGGCAAACTTTACTAACAAATGAAGGATACAGAGATTATGCTTAAGTGGTCTGGCTTGAAAATTGGCTCCAAGATGTAAACATCACAACAGAATGTTAAGCCGTTCCTGAAGAGAGAAAAAGATCATTAGGCCAATAGCCAATATGGAAGCCAAGGTAGAAATTGTTGATAAAATTATAAAACATAAGAAGAAATCACAAAGCCAGAAAAAAAAGAGCTCATCTTTACCACCAGCTCCCTGACCCAGAATATTTCCCTAGAGCCTCTCAGGTTCCCACATGTGGGAAGGAACTGGGGGTAGGGTGCTAGGATAGGTCCCTTTTCCCTATCCTGTGAGTGCCTCTTCACCTTCAATGCCCTTGAGTGCCTCTTCACCTTCTGGAGAATGAAAGTGCTTCATTTACAAGATCAAAAAGACCACAGAACATTTTCCAAAAATCAAATCACCAATTGAAACAAGTGTAGTGTTGCTTTAATATTCTCTTCTGCTATTAAGTTTCTCTCTCTGTCTCTCTCTGTGTGCCTCTCTCTTTGTGTGTGTGTCTCTGTCTACCTCCTTTCCTTCCTCCCTCTCCCTCTTTCATTCTCTCCTCTTTTCCTCCCTTCTTTTCTCCCTCACCCTCCCTCTCTCTCCTTCCCCTCCCCTCTCCACTTCACCACACACAGAAACCCCTTTTCAAAGGGGCTTTTTTCCAACTCACTGAAGTAAAGTCTTTACCCCTTTGTGGGGAAGGCTCATTAACATTCCCACAGCAGCATCTCTTCAAGGATTTTACTTTTGTAACTCTGTGGAGAGGTCAAAAGGCCACAGTGGAAAGAGGTAAAAGGGAAAAAATGGTAAATGGGGGAGGGCAGAAGAAAGCAGAGGAAGAGAGAGAGCCTTCCTTTCACAATAAGGCCAGCAAAGAGGGTGGAAAAAAATAGGAAAAGACAAGTCAGACAAGACCCAGGAAAGGGACCAATATTGAACTATCCAATCTACCTTTGGAGATTTCATAGACTCCTGAGAAAAACAGAAAGCGATATTTCTTCTCTCCTTTCTATTTCTCAAAAGGGAAGTAAATGACAGAAACAGTGGGATGGGAGAGTGACAGTTAATTCCACGGAGAAATTAGAAGCTTGCCTGGCCTCAGTGTTCCCGTTTCTCCTACAATTACAGCCCAGTGATGATGCACCTGCTTGCCACAGGGGAGTTAGCTGGCTGAATACGGCAATGTCAGCAAGAGCTCCAGAGGGTGGAATGTGAGGGAGGCACCCAGGGTCCTGACCCCAAAGGACCAGGAAAATAATGGAGATTCAGTGAGCTCCAAAGCAAAGATCAGAGAGCTTCCCAAATCGCTTCACATATGGGTACCTGCTCCATGTATTGCCAGCAATCCTCCTCCCATCTGTTGTCTCTCTGTTTTTCTTTCTTGTATTGCCAGACTAGCCTGGACCTGTGTAAGGAAAGAAGCGAAAGAAACGTCCAGTTGCACCCAACACGGTGAGTGAGCTATGCTGTGCTTTTCTCTGAAGATGCAGCCATCAGAGATTGACAGCATTAAACTTCAAAGAGAAAAGTAATTCCTGCTTTGCTAACTGATGATGTTTCAGAGGCATCTCCTCTCATCCAGAAGAACAAAGGGTAAATAAGGCCAAAAGAAAAAGACTAGACATTGTAGCTGGAATATAGGGCATATTGGGATATTCTATGCCCAGTAGCACAGTATCACTCACATTCAGGTAGGAATAGCATGGCCACAAGGTAAAACAAACAAACAAACAAACAAAAAACAAACAAAAAAAATGAATCACTTTTAAGTGTACCACCTGAGCAGAAGAGACCTGTTTGGTGACCAAGTGGATGTGTTTTAGAGATGGAGGATATTCTTAAAGGCCAAACTTCATATCCAAAAAGCCATTCTTCCCCCACATAATCCTTGACAATTGTTTTCAGCCTCTCTGGGAACTTTTTTTTTTAATATGGAACACTTCATGAATTTGTGTGTCTATTCCCCTCCTTCTCTGTATCCATGCACAGGGGCCATGCTAACCTTCTCTGTATCGTTCCAATTTTAGCATACGTGCTGCCAAAGTGAGCACTGTGAGAACTTAATACAGAGAGCCCACAAATTCTCTGGGGAATCCGTGACACTGTTAGACAGTTCCTTTTCTGTTGAGCTTAAAGTACCTCCTCGTCGCTTCCACCCACCTACATCACCTTCTCAGAAGGAGCCTCCCTTCAACCCTAGAAGCTGGACAGGAACGTCGACCCTAGTTGTTATTTTAAATGAGATTCCTTAAAATCAATCACTTTTTAAAAAAATATATTCTATTGATTTTTTTAAAGAGAGTGAAAAGGGAGAGGGATGGAGAGAAACATCCATGAAGAGAGAAGAACATCATCAGTCAGCTATTGAACCCAGGCATGTGCCCTGACCGGGAATCTAACCAGTGGCCTCTTGGTTCTTGGCTGAATTACAAGGGTGGGGCATCAAACATTTTTTTTTTTTATGGCAAGAGTCTGTTGGCATAGCGTACCTTTAACAATATTGGGGGGTAGGGTTTGGGGTTGGGGGGCGGTGAATGATGGCCTGTCAGGTGCACCTGGCTTCCAAACCCATCTCTGCTACATCCTAGCTGTGCATTCTTTGATAGGTTACTTAACCTCCCTGGGCCTTTTGGTTCATCTATGAATAGGATCATCTATAAATGGGAGTGTGGTAAAACATGCCATGCTAGTGTCTGAGTTGTAATATTAAAAAAAAAATGGCATGTGCATGAGAATATTCTATAAATTATAAATTATAAAGCGAGCATGAAGTTTTTATACCGACTGTTCATCTTTACTCTGTCTTTTTTTTTTTTTTTTTTTTTTTTTTTGCCAAGTTTTTATACACTCATTTTTAACTAGAGGTAGCTGACTTCTTGGCCTCATTATAAGGATATACCAGAAAGTTCTTATTTCAAACTACAGCCCAGAAGCAATCACATCATCAAACAAGGTGGTATAGAATCATGAAAGGCTCAAAAAGCACTGTGAATAACTTAGAAGAAGAGTTAGAAAAACAAGTGGTGGGTATTTTAAGAACAGACAGCATGGGGAGAGGCCCGGGCCGGCAGAGAGGAGAGGGTTAAATCCTTTCCTCTTCAGTACAAAAGAAAAGAGTGTGCGGAAAGATTAGGATTTTTGCTTTTACAATGGGAGCTGCAGAAGCGTAGGGAAGAAGCTGAAGGGGGGAAAAAGGGGGCGTCTCCCCTTTAAAGACTTGCAGAGATTGAGAGAGAGAGTCAGGGACAGAGAAAGAGAGAGAGTCAGACACAGTGAATGAGAGAGAGAGAGAGAGAGAGAGAGAGAGAGAGAGAGAGAGAGAGAGAGAGAGAGTTTGTCTATCTCTGGGAAGAGAGAACATCTCTGCTTCACAGTGATCTGCCTGAGGGAGAGGCATCAGTTGGCTTCAGACCCAAGGGAGAGACCAGACCAAGTCACCCTGGTTAAGACTGAGTGAGCGTCACCCCTCCCTCTCCCACCACTCTCTACCCGGGAATGTCTAGGCGAAAGCAGCGGAAACCCCAACAGTTAATCTCGGACTGCGAAGGTCCCAGCGCGTCTGACAACGGTGGGTGCCTGGGGAGGAAGGAGGGGGGAGATCTCAGTGCAAGCCTGTGTGGGTCAGGCCAGGGCAAGGGGAGGGCCCCTGGGCCATGGGCAAAACCAGGGGGAGGACATAGTCACAGAGAGAGAGGGCTGGAGGGAGGTGGGGGGACTGAGGGAGTTGAGGTGCAAGGAGGAAGGGGATGACCTATGGTGAGGAGAAGCCCCACTTGGCTTTTCTCAGGAATGATTCTGTTTGTATTTTCCTTGTTGTTTTTTCTCTGGATGAAATGGAGTTTTCAAACTGGCTCTGTCTCTCCACCCAAGAGTTTTCTCCCCAGGTCCCCCTTTGCTCACTGGTCTTTGTGCGGTTGCTAAGTAACATCCTCAGACCTGAAGACTGTCTCTTAGGGGTGGGATTTTCCCCCCTTTCCTTTCTGGAGAGTTGGGTTGCAAGAGAATGAATTGGATAAATGTGGAGATTCCCCTGAGGGAGAAGAGAAAAAAAGTTTCTCATTGTTGGGCTGAGCGGAGAGCGGATCAGAGCTCCCGGAGGGAGACAGCTAATGTCGGTCAGATGGAGCCCGGTTTGGGATGTGTATCCGTGTCACCTGGGATAGAGGCTGGAGGGGAGGTCTGGATGAGGTGCTTAGGTTTGGGCTTCAAGATAGGCCAAGCTAAGAAAAAAAAAGTATGAGTTAATATACCTGTTAATACATGCATTATCATTTTGTAAGGATATTATCACCTGTTTTTTAAGTAATAGAGTTTCTTTATAGGGGTTGGGGTAGATTTCATATATCCTTATAGCATACCAGGAAGAGGCAGACAATAGAGCAGTAGGGTACTGAGCAGTGATATTGTCCAAAGTCTCAGAAACAAAGGCATAGTCAGGATGAAAACCCAGGTTTCCTGGGGCTCAGGGCTGGTGGTGCTCACGCCACTAAATCGGGGTTTCCAAACTTGCCTGATGGGTAGATCCAGGCTAGAGTCTGGGAATCCATATCTTTGCAAATGTCCAGGTAATTCTTAGGATCAAGCAAGTGTCGGACATACTGGTCAGTGGTACGGCCATATGTGTTCTCACTGTGACCGTCTGGAAGTCATGACTCAGGGATAAACGATTTGTTTAGCAAATAGTTAATTCGCCCACCAATATAGTGTAGGATTAGGCACAAGGGTTCTGAAGCCAGGCTGTTAGGATTCACATCCTGGCTCCACTACTTGGTTAGCTGAGCAGTTTTAGTTGTTTACCTCCCTATGCCTCAATTTTCTCATCAGTAAAATAGGGATGAATATACTAGCTACCTCGTTAGGTTATTGGGAGAATCGACATGAGTTAATAGATGTAGGTACAGCACTTGGGAAAATTACTGGCATAAATAAGTACTTAATGCATGTGAGTATTGTTATTATCATTATATGTTAGGACAGTGGCAATTCCCAAGGTGCTGGAATGTGACCAAAACTCAGGAATCTCTTGGCAAATGTCAAACACTTCTTTATGAGAGGTGTGCCATGAGAAACTCTAGGAGAATGCACTTGAAGTGACCAAAACTAACCCATGGATTTGTTTTTTCACCTGTTGTAAAAACATGACTGGAGGTCAGTCACATCAGTGCTCCATGTGCTATGGCTCAGCCTTAACAGACATACTGTGTTTCGGGTAAAACACCTCCTCCTCAGAGTCACTGCTTTGCTGCATCCCACTGTGCCCATATTTAGAGGCTCGTGGTGGTGACATCTGTTCCCTCCGGGGACACATTAGCCCTTCTTAATGCCTCTGCAGGCCGGATGTTTCCTCCTCCTGCTCTACAGGAAACTTCCCTCAGACCCTCAGAATTGCCTCACAGTCCCGCTCTCCTGCTGGCTTGATTTTGGAACGGTGCTTAATCTCCCCCAGCCCAGGAGGCATCCTTTCTCTTTTCCCAAGTCTGCTCACCCATTCTCATTCCACAGCTGAGCAAAAATCTGTGAGGGACCCAAAGGAATCTTCAGCAGCTGCCCTGAGTGGCTTCTCAAACTCCTTGAGCTTTAGATCCCACTTGGGGGTGTGAGTCCTTGGGGGCATAAAGATGCTGCTTCAAAGCCATCCCCATGGAAACCGGGTAGGCTTGCACCCACTGTCCGCATCAAATTTCAGTTGAAATACTGCCTTGAGCCACGAAAGTGAGAAACATAAATGTAAAGAGCAACGAAGTAGTAGTAACCGTAGTTACCTCCTAAGATCTGCCTTAAGAAAGCGTAAGGGTTATCTGATCAGCATTCTCCTGAAAGTGAAAGATCCTGTGTTACTTACGTGACCTGGAGGGCTACTGGGTCTCATCTGTTAAGATGTGGGGGCTATGTTGGATGAAATCTAAAATTCCTTCCGTTTCTTATGAGATATGTAGGTTTCTCATTTCCTGCTTTTTCACAAATAGGGTTTCTGTTTGCTTACGTGATCTTCAGACTTTTCCTTCTACCTTTGAGACATTTTCTTGTTCTGGTAGAGAAGTATCTTTTTCCCCCCTCCTTTTTAAATATATTTTTATTGATTTCAGAGAGGAAGGGAAGGAGAGAGAGATGGAAATGACAATGGTAAGAGAGAATCATTGATTGGCTGCCTCCTATATGCCCCCTACTGGGGAGCAAGCCCACAACCTGGGCGTATGCCCTTGACCGGAACCGAACCTGGAACCTTCAGTCCGCATACCAAACCGGCTAGGGCAGGTAGGGAAGTTTCTTATTTGGGGGCTCTTATGTGTGTCCCTTGCTGTACCTGTGAAACTATGGTCATTATCATGAGCATCAGCAGACATTTATTTAGTAGGGTAGGGTGCCACTGAGGTTTTCTGGAGTCTTTGTCTTCCTTTAAGCGATGTTCACTCCATGTGACAAGCAAATGCTGAGCCTTTGCTGCACATTTTAAAAGCCTCATCTCCGCAGTGACCTAAGACGTCACCAAGAAACAGTCTGTAAAACCTGTTATCCAGCCATGTTTTTGTTCAGCTTCTTTGACCAGAACACCAAAATCTAACAGAATAGTTATTGCACATAAGCGATGAGAAGGAAATAGTCTATTTACTTTAAAACTCTGGAGAGAGAAAAAAATCTCTCCCCTACAGAGTCTAGAAATCTGGATGAGAGAACATAAGGGATGTGAACAGGGAAAATGTAAACTAGTACATCTGGGAAATAAAGGAAACAACCAGAAACCCAGATATTTAGTGAGAAGAAGAAACCAGGACAACAGCAAACAGACCTAGAGGGAGAAATGGAAGCTGGCTGACATCGAGAGCAGCAAAAGGGGAAGAAAGCAAAATTAGAGTTTTAAGAGCCCTGTTCTCTTTATACCTGGAAGCAGAAAGCATCGTCTCTCAGGCTGAGTCCTAAGCCTTTCAGCCCTACGTACCCTTGGGTCAAAAAGAGAGCACTTCTGAGTGGACAGAAGTAACTCAGGCATGATGTGGCAGAGAATGGAGAAGGAAGCCGAAAGCCTGGTTTTCAGTCCAGCCTGGACTTTGAAGCTATGTGACCTGGGGCAAGTCCCTTCTTCTCCCAGGCTTCACCTTTTGGCCTGTAATTAATGACACTCATCAATAATATTTGCAGAACATTTACTATTTGTCAGGCACTATGCTAAATCCTGAATGTATTTCTTGTTTATTCCTCCCAACTACACTATAATTACTTCCATTAAAAAAAAAAATTGTGTGTTAGTTAAACACTAACTCCCCCTTTCCTTCTCTCCCCGCCCCCACTTTCCCCTCCCCTACCCCTGGCAACTACCATTCTCTATGAATTTACCAGTTCCAGGTACCTCATATAATGGAAGCATATAATATTTGTCCTTTTGTGTCTGGTCTAATTCATTTAACATGTTTTTCAAGGCTCAACCATTTTGTAGCATGTGTCAGAATTTCATTCCTTTTTATGGCTGTACCTCCATTTTAAAGGAGAGAATCCCAAGCCTGAGATAGATTAAGAACATTTCCCAAGGTCACAAACATTACAAAGTATTGGAACAGAGCCTTTAACTCAGGTTTGTAAGATTCTGAGCAGGCACTCCCAATGACTGAGCTCAAAGAAGGGGTCCTTGTCAGCTCCAAAGAGCTATGAATTCTGAGTCTTTTGGTGTCAGAAAAATACTTTTTTTAAAAAAAATATATTTGACCTAAGATATTCCTATTCTGGAAACAAATATATTTTTCTCACTTCACACCAGATATAGAAAGCATTGTGCCTGCATAAGAATCCACTATGTTGCCCGGTCCCTGGTGCATTAGTAGGTGTGGGTGGCAAAGGAGTCTCTGTGTGTATTTAGGAGAAAAGCGTGAGGAAGAGAAGACGGGACATCATGCCTTACAAATAGTCCATAGCAGCAGTTACAGAATCACTTCATAATTATGGACACTGCCAATTAGTGTCGGTTCAATGTTTATAGTAAGTAGGCAGGTGTTTTGTTTCTTTGATGGCTGGAAAATTCTCAGACTCTTTGTAGAACAAAGCCTTTCACCTTACAATTAGGAATGCGGTTTAAGGGGCACACTGGGAAAGGCAATACAGTGGCTAAATTCAGTCAGGTTTAAATCTTCATGTTTTCTTCACGGAAGTAGAATGCATGAGCACTAATGTCAGGAAGATGTAGCAGTGAGCAGCTCATTATGCCCATGCCCTCATTTTGGCCAGATTGGGCACAGACAAGATTTGTAGAGTAGATGGGAAGGACAGTACTCTGCTAGGTACTGTGGTTCTCATCCTTTGTCTGGACAGTAAAATCACCTGAGGAACTTTGCAAACATGCTGATGCCTGGATTCCACTCTCAAGGATTCTGAATTACTTGGTGTGAGATGTGGCCTGACCATCAGGATTTTTTATAAGCTCTCCCAGTAATTCTAATGGGCAGCAAAGTTTGAGAACCACTTTTCCACTAAACCACCTTGCTGTGCACTACCCACCTGTTTTTCTCTTTGTTATCCCCAGGCCTTCTCCCCCTAGCCTAAAGCAGCAGTTTGGTGGCCCCCCTGGTTTAGAGAGCCACCTGGTTTCCCCTTTTCCTCGTCATTTAAGCTCTTTACAAATTTAAACAGCCATGTCCAGGTCTTAGGCCTTCATCCATCCCAGATTTTGCATGTGACCCAGAATAGCTTACCTCGCCTTATCTGCTATCTGCCGCGCCATTACCAGCTCAGTTTATTCCAGCCAGTGTTTATGACTTCATTTGTGTCTGCCTAAAAAACCATGCCCCCCTTTCCAGACAGGCAGTGAGTGCAAAGCGCTGAGAAGCAGAGGGTTCCGCTTACAGGTGGCTGTTGATCCGTCACCTTTCACCAGGGACTGAATTTACTTTAAAGAAGAGTGCAGATCAAATTACGCATCAGAAAGCAAGTTTCATTAAAACAGCAAGAAAGGGGACAGTGTTTCCCAGGAGAAGATGAAAAGAACAGGATTTCTTTTCTTGTAGGAAGACTTGACAAAACAGCAACTTGATATCAAATGTTCGCTGCTAATTAACAAATGCTCGGTAGAAAGCTTCCATCTGATTCCCTGCCCTTGCTGAGGCGGGAGAGCAAATGGCAGGTAGGTGCCACACAGGGCCCTTTCTTCAGCGTTAGGGAAGCCACACAATGTTGAGGTGCCTCAGAAAGCACTGGACAGGAGTCAACATTCTCAATGCTTCCTTCACTGATTTACTGTGTGGACTTGGAAAAGTCACTTAATCCCTCCAAGCTTAAGTTTCTGTATGTGTAAAAATAACATTGCACTAACCTGTGACTTGCCAAATTGCAACAGACCCTCCTCATTTCCTCATTGTAAGTGTCAGCCCTGGAAGCACTTAGCTCACCTGCTACAGAGCCATCACTTACAGTGTGGTGACTCTTACGATTATCTGAAGTTTTGAGACATAACTCAGTAACATGTTTTCAGTGGAAAAAAAAAGACAGCAAAATTTCACCCAGTCGGTGTGGCTCAGTGGTTGATTGTCTCCCAATGAACCAGGAGGTCATTCACGGTTTCACTCCCTGTAAGGTAGGGGTGTCGAACTCAATCAGAGAAGGGGCCAAAATCTAAAATCCAGCCTAAATCTCGGGCCGAATGGTTTACTGAACAGTCATAAACTGTCATTGTGATGGAAACGCAGCGGAGTGCAGTGATGACAGCGCGGTGCGGGCCACATTGCAAGGCCTGGCGGGACGGATTTGGCCCTCGGGCCTTGTGTTTGACACATGTGCTGTAAGGGCACATGCTCTGGTTGTGGGTTCAATTCCTAGTGGGGGGAGGGCAGGAGACAGCCAATAAATGATGCTCTCATCATTGATGTTTCTATCTCTCTCTCCCTCTCCTCTCTGAAGTCAATAAAAATATATCTATACTAATAAAAGAGTAACATGCTAAATAGAATGGGAGACCTTCAGGACAAAGCTATGGTGGTGGGGCCAAGGCAGAGGTGGTTAGGGGTGATCAGGCCAGGAGGGGAGGGCAGTTGGGGGTGATCTGAGGAAGATAGCACAGCTACAATATTACCACTTTACAAAGAGCGAAGTAGTGGCATGGTGTGGTATGACTGACTACCATGCCTCAACTTACCAGTCCGGCGAGAATAGAACTGGGATTAGAACCACATGGGTTTACGGTTGCTCAAGCAGGCAAACCACAAAAATGAAGAACTTGTGGTGACCTGCTGTTAGTGAGATAAATTCTTTTAGGAAGTGGGAAATCCATTAGGATTCATTTCAAGGCAGAAAGGGAAACCCGATCTGGGAGGCATCTTATCCCTGCCTACCTCTCTGGGAACAGGAGGTTAGGAGGCCTGTTGCCCCAAGCAAGTGTTAGGTAATTTCTAGGCATTCTAACCAGGTGGGAGCTGAAAGGGGCTCTAGGACCAGAGGCGGCCAGGCAGCCCCTGCTGCATTTTTCCCATTGTTTCAGGAAGAGCTCCCCTCCCCCAAAGGTAGAGCTAGTGGGCCAGCGTCTCCCAAGCCCTTTGCCCTTAGCAGTGACAGTAGGTTACAACAGGAGAACAATGAAGGTAGAGTAGAGAGGGTGGCTCACTTAAGAGATGGCTCCTTAAGAAAGCGTGAACTTTGTCATGTACACCTGGAGCGGCTGTTCTGGGGAGTGCCTTGCATTCAGCTGTTATTCCGGGGGTGGAGAGGGGCTTAGCGTTGGAAAAGAGGAGTCCTGAAATGCCTTTCCTGGAAATTCTACCTCGCAGCGTCCCACCCTGAGAAACTTCTTTTGTAGGGGGAGGTGAGGATAGGGTGGTAACTGAGGTGAGGAAGACAGGACCAACCTTGGGGTTTGTTTGTTGTTGTTGTGTATGGTTTTTTTTTTTGGGGGGGGGGGAAGAAAGGGGGTTGATGGATGAATGTTTTGGGTTCCCCCTGCGCTCTGGGCTCTGGGGCTCCTCGGCGGCGGAGATCAGACCACCTCTCCGGAGTCTACGATTTCCAGGCTCAGCGGATCTTTTATGCAAAGAAAAACAGGAGAAGCCTGTCGCTTTGCTCCGGTGAACAGGGTTGTGTTTCCCACTGTGCCCCCTTGAGCTTGCTTGGGCGGGGGAGGGGCCAGGCATCTGGAGAAGGGGTAAGGCTGCAGAGGGCAAGGAAAGGTGACCCCCCGCCGTGACCCACAGCACCTGTCACTGAGCCCTCCGGAAACCCTCCCGAGCTCCGGGTTCCCGCCCCCGCACGCCCCCCTCCGCCCCGGCTCGCTCCTCTCCCGGCTCCCGCCTCCCGCCCCGGCGGTTCCCCCTCACCAGCTCTCCCCTCCTGCAGCCCCGCCCCCATCTCCCCTCTCCCAGCTTTCTGGCTCCGCTCCTCCCACCTCCGCGCCGCCCGCTCCCCTCCCCCTCCTCCCCGCCACCGCCGCGGGTCTCCATCTCCGCAGTCCGGGCCGCCGGTGCAGAGGCTGCCGCAGCCCCAGCGGCCCCCGCCCCCAACCCCAACCCCAACCCCAACCCCCGTCCCCATTGTCTCCCGCTGCACCCAGCCGCCGCCCCCCCAGCCATGGCGCACGAAGCCGGGAGAGGCTCCCTTCTCAGGGGGCCCTGCGGGGAGCCGGCGGAGCTCGGAGGTGCGGTAGGGTCCGGGCTGGGCACGGGTGGGGGCGGAAGGGACACGCGGGGGGGGGGGGGGGGGGGGAGGGGAGGACTTTGGGTGGACGGGATCAAATGCACGCTTATCTGCATGGACCCTAATCCGTGTCCCACCCCTAGTCCACGGGCCCGTTGGTGGCCGGGGTCGGTGGTGGAGGCGGTGGGGGGGGGGGGGAACGACCCGGGAGGGCACACTCGCTTGCGTGTCCCCCACCCCCATGCTGGGGTTCTCGTGTCCAGGAGGGTCAGGACCGAGCTCTATCTAGCCTTCTGCCTGGCCTGATGGTGAGCTCATCTCCCCTCCCCCAACCAGCAGTAGCTGGGCTCGTGGCTAATGAGAGCCTCCGAGTGGCCATTCCGACCGCGCCACCCACCCACGCTCGCTTTCTCCTCTTCTCCCTCCTCCTCCTCCCAGGTGATGCTAGCGAGGAGGACCACCCCCAGGTCTGTGCCAAGTGCTGCGCGCAGTTCACCAGCCCGACCGAGTTCCTCGCCCACCAGAATGCGTGCTCTACCGAGCCCCCCGTGATGGTGATCCTCGGAGGCCAGGAGAACTCCGGCAGCGCTTCCGAGCCCCGGCCCGAGGGCCACAGCAGCCCCCAGGTCATGGAGGTGGAGCACGGCCACCCCCCGGATGCTGGGCCCTCCGTGCCCACGGACCCCACCTGGGGGGCGGAGCGGAGAGGAGAGGAGGCAGCGGGGCATTTCCTAGCCGCTGGCACAGGGACAGCTGCCGCTGGGGGAGGAGGAGGAGGAGGAGGAGGAGGAGGCCTGATCTTGGCCAGTCCCAAGCTGGGAGCCACCCCACTGCCTCCAGAGTCCACCCCTGCGCCGCCGCCGCCTCCTCCGCCCCCACCGCCCCCACCGCAGCCCCCGGGCGTGGGCAGCGGCCACTTGAACATCCCCCTGATCCTGGAGGAGCTGCGAGTGCTGCAGCAGCGCCAGATCCACCAGATGCAGATGACCGAGCAGATCTGCAGGCAGGTGCTCCTGCTCGGCTCCCTGGGCCAGACGGTGGGCGCGCCGGGCAGCCCCTCCGAGCTACCGGGGACGGGGACCGCCACCACCGCCTCCACCAAGCCCCTGCTTCCGCTCTTCAGCCCCATCAAGCCCGTGCAGACGAGCAAGACCCTGGCGTCTTCCTCCTCCTCCACCTCCTCCTCCTCAGGGGCAGAGACGCCCAAACAGGCTTTCTTCCACCTCTACCACCCGCTGGGGTCGCAGCACCCTTTTTCTGCTGGGGGGGCTGGGCGAAGCCACAAGCCCCCGCCCGCCCCCTCCCCAGCTCTGCCGGGCAGCACCGACCAGCTGATCGCCTCGCCGCACCTAGCCTTCCCGGGCACCACCACGGGGCTCCTGGCTGCGCAGTGTCTGGGGGCAGCCCGGGGCCTGGAGGCCGCCGCCGCCGCCTCCCCGGGGCTCCTGAAGCCGAAGAACGGCAGCGGCGAGCTGGGCTATGGAGAGGTGATGGGCCCCTTGGAGAAGCCCGGGGGACGGCACAAGTGCCGCTTCTGCGCCAAGGTCTTCGGCAGCGACAGCGCCCTGCAGATCCACCTGCGCTCACACACGGGCGAGAGGCCCTACAAGTGTAACGTCTGCGGCAACCGCTTCACCACCCGGGGCAACCTCAAGGTGCACTTCCACCGGCACCGGGAGAAGTATCCGCACGTGCAGATGAACCCCCACCCGGTGCCGGAGCACCTGGACTACGTCATCACCAGCAGCGGCCTGCCCTACGGCATGTCCGTGCCGCCGGAGAAGGCGGAGGAGGAGGCGGCCGCGGGGCCGGGTGCGGGTTCGGGCGCGGAGCGCAAGCCCCTGGTGGCCGCCACCGCCGCGCTCAGCGCCACCGAGAGCCTCACGCTGCTCTCCACCGGCGCCGGCGCGGCCGCGGCGCCCGCGCTCCCCACCTTTAACAAGTTCGTGCTCATGAAGGCGGTGGAGCCGAAGAGCAAAGCCGATGAGAACACCCCTCCGGGGACCGAGGCCTCCGCCCTCGCAGGGGTGACCGAAAGCGGCGCGGCCACGCGCATGCAGCTGAGCAAGCTGGTGACGTCCCTCCCCAGCTGGGCCCTGCTCACCAACCACTTCAAGTCCGCGGGCAGCTTCCCCTTCCCCTACGTGCTCGAGCCCCTGGGGGCCTCGCCCTCCGAGACGTCGAAGCTGCAGCAGCTGGTGGAAAAGATTGACCGGCAGGGAGCCGGAGCCGGGGCCGTGGCCTCCACTGCCTCGGGAGCCGCCACGACCTCTGCCCCCGCGGCTTCGGCCTCCGCTTCCTCCTCGGGACCCAACCAGTGCGTCATCTGCCTGCGGGTGCTGAGCTGCCCGCGGGCCCTGCGCCTGCACTACGGCCAGCACGGAGGCGAGCGGCCCTTCAAATGCAAGGTGTGCGGCAGGGCCTTTTCCACCCGCGGCAACCTGCGCGCTCATTTCGTGGGCCACAAGGCCAGCCCGGCCGCGCGGGCCCAGAATTCCTGCCCCATCTGCCAGAAGAAGTTCACCAACGCGGTGTCTCTGCAGCAGCATGTGCGGATGCACCTGGGGGGCCAGATCCCCAACGGGGGTAACCCGCTCCCTGAGGGTGGCGGAGCTGCCCAGGAGAATGGCTCTGAGCAGTCTGCTCCAGTCTCCGGGGCGGGGGGCTTCCCCCAGCAGCCGTCTCAGCAGCCGTCCCCAGAAGAGGAGTTGTCCGAAGAGGAGGAGGAGGAAGAGGAAGAAGAGGAAGATGTGACTGATGAAGATTCTCTGGCAGGAAGAGGCTCAGAGAGCGGAGGTGAGAAGGCGATATCAGTGCGAGGCGATTCTGAAGAGGCGTCTGGAGGAGAGGAGGAGGTGGGGATGGTGGTGGCGGCAGCCACAGCTGGGAAGGAGATGGACAGCAATGAGAAAGCAATCCAGCCTCCTTCGATGCCGCCGCCACTGCCACCGCCGTCAGACAGCCTGGATCAAACACAGCCGAGGGAGCAGGGGGCCAGTGATGTTGCAGAAGTCGCAGAAGAGGGGGGCAAACCAGAGAGGAGCTCAAGCCCAAAGGCAGCCCTCACCCTCGAAGGGGAAGGCAGTAGCACCACCACCTTGGTGGAGGAGCTGAGCGTGCAGGAAGCGATGAGGAAGGAGCCAGGAGAGAGCAGTAGCAGGAAGGCCTGCGAGGTGTGTGGCCAGACCTTCCCCACCCAGGCAGCTCTGGAGGAGCATCAGAAGACCCACCCCAAGGAGGGGCCGCTCCTCACTTGTATTTTCTGCAGGCAGGGCTTTCTCGAGCGGGCTACCCTCAAGAAGCATATGCTGCTGGCTCACCACCAGGTACAGCCCTTCGCCCCTCACGGCCCTCAGAATATGGCTGCGCTTTCCTTGGTCCCGGGCTGTTCTCCCTCCATCACTTCCCCAGGGCTCTCCCCCTTTCCCAGAAAAGATGACCCTACAATCCCATGAGCCTGTTTTTTTGTTCCTGCTACCCTTTGACCTAGTTTGCAGAAACAGCTCTGTAGAAGGACCTCTAAGATGTAAGAGGTCTTTATTTGTCTTTTTCTCTAATTTCTTACATAGTATGACCCGAGTGGTTTTTCTCTAGTCCCCGAGCTTGGAAATCATGCTCACAGGAGGATGACCCCCTGAGGAATTTTTCTTCTCCATTCATTGTACCAGAGGGAAATAGATTCTCTAAAGCTTTCACACTCCCAAGGGAAACCCTCTCCAGCTTCCCTGGGGTGACCCTTCTCCCCTCCCCTCACACTCCCTTTCTCTTGGGCAGGTGCCCCTGAGCACCCACATTGGGAATTGCAGCCCAAAAGGGACCAGCACCTTTCCCTGGAGGGCTCAGGGCCACTCCTCTCTGGTGACCAGGTCAACCTGCAGGGCTTCTTCTCCCAAGACATTCCTGCCCAGCTGGGGAGGGTGGGTCTCCTGTCTTTCTGGAACTAGAACATGCCTTTCCTGTCCGGTGACCTGCCCACCCAAACCTGGGAGTTCCAAATCCACTTCCACTACCACTTCAGCACCACCAGTGCTATTTGGTCCAAGAGCTGCGGCTGGGCACATGCCTCCAGCAACAGGATTCAGAGAGGCTAAGGAGAAAAGAGCCTGCATCCAGGGCAGTGCCTGAACAGCTTATCGTGGAAGTAGCAACCTGTGCATTCCCTCCCCCTGCTCCAAAAGGTGCTAGCAATGAAGGTGCAGCAATATCTGTATCTGTGGCTCAGCCCTGGAGGGTAGGGAGAAATCAAGGGTATTTATACTCTTGCCAGTAAGCTTGATAATCACATTAAGGCAAAGGTGGATATGCTAAGACATATCCAGCTTCTCATATTCCTTCATCATTGCCTCTCCAAGTTAGGAAACAAGTGGATTTCTTGCCAAGATGTCTCCCCTTGGAATACTTTGGGAAATGTGACGTTAGTTCACATCTTTAATAAGCACTGTCGGTGAGGACAGTTGAAGATGTAATGGTGGAGCATGGAGGCGTATTGCTGACCTACAGGGCTTTATAGGGGGAACCTTTGTGATTAAGAAAGGGACATGATATAAGGGAGTGGGCCCCGAATTCTTGATTGGATGGATCCCATGGATGTGCTTTTGGACTAAGGGTGACTTACTGTGCAGCAGGGCACCATGGATCATGGGAGAGTTCCTAGCACTGGTGTGCTTCTAGTTTTAGATTACTCCCTCCTTTATTCCCTGGCCCCTTGTACTTTCATCCTCTTTCCCTCTCAAAGCCCATTTCCCCCCCTTTTTGCCTGTCCATGGACTGGGGGCTTATGTCTTTGCTACTATCTGGTTCTGAGAGTCCCAGACTTTGGGGGATGAGCTCCAGATGGTGTCCTCCCTGCCTCTCCGTCTTATCATGAGATGTAGTGTTTACTCTTAACCTAGGATCATTTGGAACAGTTCTGAGGAGGAGAAAGTGCTGGTTCGGTTGGTGACTGACTCGAATGATGGCTTCTCCTCTGAAGATGTAGGCTCCAGAGCTTCCTAACATAGAAAAATGTGGAGAGCAGACAAGGGAAATGTTAGTGTCTTTCCCTTTTCATTAAAGGTGTTTTAACCAAATATTTGTGTGTTTCTCCTTATTTTATGACTAAATAGCCAGCTGGGGTGTGATATGGCATTTCCTAACATTGAGATTCCCTTCCCACTTACATGTCCTGCCAAAAGCTGAGCATATGGTGTTAAAATATTTAATTTATTCAGCCTTGTCGGCAAACAGTCTCCAATGAATGTCGTTTCCCTGTGGAAAGGAACTTTGTGTTCTCAGAAGGTCCTGCAGGGAAGTTGCCCACTGTGTGCAATCACGGTCTAGGTTTTCTCTTTGCCTAGAACCCTCTACCACCAGGCTTTTATGTTTTATTTTGTGGAGGTGTTTGTTTCCTTTAAAGGTTGGAAGCTGTTTATCAATCTTTCCTAAACTCCAGGCCAGCCTGGCTGACATCAATTCATTTGCAGAACCAAGATGAATTAATCTTTATGATCCTTGAGGTCAGATATTATAAACAAAGAAAAAATAATTCAACCCTAATAACTTCTACCAACAAGATAAAGGAGGATTTTTTAAAAAGATATATTTTATTGATTTTTCAGAGAGAGGAAGAGAAAGGGATAGAGAGTTAGAAACATCGATGAGAGAGAAACATTGAACAGCTGCCTCCTGCACATCCCCCACTGGGGATGCGCCCACAACCAAGGCACATGCCCTTGACCCCTCAATCCACAGGCCGACTCTCTATCCACTGAGCCAAACCGGTTTCGGCTAAAGGAGGATTTTTAAAATATATTTTTATTGATTTCAGAGAGGCAGGGAGAGGGAGAGAATAGAAATATCAATGATGAGAGAGAATAAGCCACTACCTTCTGCACACTTCTCACTGGAATAACATGCCCCACACTGGAGAGGAGCCGACCACCCAGGCATGTGCCCTGAACAGGAATGGAACTGTGACCTGGTTCATAGGTCAATGCTCAACCACTGAGCCATGCCAGCCAGGCTAAAGAAGGATTCTTACCAAAGGAAATACATCGGGGGTGGAAGCATGAAATGAAGAGCATATCTATAGGCTAATATGCAAAGTGTCCCCTTGGGAGTTCAACCAGGAGTTCGATCGCTCCCTATGATGTGCGCTGACCTCTAGGGTTGTGGTACGGAACAAAGGAGGGCCCTGGCCGGCAGCCAGAAAACTCCAATCAGCCCTCATCGCCAGCCAGGCCTAAGTACCCTACCCATGCACAAATTTGGCGAACTGGGCCTCTAGTATACATACACACACATTTTTTTTTTCCACTTTGTTTCTTTACAACACGGTAAGGTTCATATTTAATTCTGCAAGCTTGGTTTCATCATGAGAAGATAATGCACATTGGCCTGCAGATTGAAGGGTCACGGGTTCAATTCCGTCAGGGGCACATGCTTCTATTACAGGTTCAAATCCCACCCTGGGGTGGGGAAGGCAACCAATCATTGATGCTTCTGTCTCTCCCAACTTCCTTCTAAAAAATCAATGGAAAAATGTCCTTGGGTGAGGATTAACAAAAAAAATTTTTAAAAGAAGAAGCTCCAGAAATTTTTTGTAAGACTATAATATCCCTGAATCTTAGTGCTAAAGAATTGGAACTGGTAAAATTATTTACCCAAAGTCACCCGGTGCTGGCTTCCTGCTATATCAAGGACTCCTGGTATAAGAATGGAAGACAGAAGGGAGGGAGTGTGTAAACCTATTTTGGCTTGATAAAAGGCAAAGAATGATGTTTGAGTCTACAGTAGTTGCTCCCACCACAACAGGTACTATTGTAATAAATAGGAACACATGGAAATCTTTTTTTTTTTTTTAATATATTTTATTGATTTTTTACAGGAGAAAGAGAGAGGGATAGAAAGTCAGAAACATCGGTGAAAGAGAAACATCAATCAGCTGCCTCCTGCACACCCCCTACCGGAGATGTGCCCACAACCAAAGTACATGCCCTTGATCGGAATCGAACCCAGGACCTTACAGTTCGCAGGCTGACACTCTATCCACTGAGCCAAACTGGCTTTGGCCACATGGAAATCTTGTGAACTCAATTCGGGGGAAAAACAGCTCCTGTCTCTTTAATTCTTGGCAAAGCTTTATAAATCTGTTTTTCCTTTCAGTCTGTGGAAGGAGGTGAGTCACCAATCCTATTTTCTTTACCTCCTCTACCCCTATTGGACATAGATAATGCCACTTAACTAATTAAACTAGACTTGCCCTCTCTTTAGACGCCAGTTCTCATTATGGCAACAGCTGCCAATGAGGCTTCTGCTGATGGTACTTCCTTGGGCAGGTCAGCACAGAGCCTGCCCTCCCCCCCACCCCCCCCCTTCCCGCCCTCTTTCTGTCTCCTTTTCATTCTTTTTCCTTCCTGTGTTGCTTTTTTTTCTTTCATTGACCTCTCTTATCTCACAGCTTTTATTTTTTTCTCTTTTCACCTTAAATTTCTCTTTTAGAGCCTTTTGTCTCCCTTATTGCAGTCTTAAAGCCCCACTATTTCATATATTTCATATACAATATATATATATATATATATATTGTATATATATAATGTTTTCATTGCTATTTTTATAGAGAAAGGATGGGAGGGAGGGAGGGAGGGAGGGAGAGAGGGAGAGATGGGAGGGGAAAGAGAGGGAGAGAGAGAGACAGACATTGATGTGAGAGAGAAACATCCATTAATTGCCTCCTGCACACGCCCTGACCAGCGATCCAATCTGCAACCTAGGCATGTGCCTTTGACTGGAAATTGAACCAGCAACCTCCTGGTGCATGGGAAGATGCCCAACCAACTAAGCCACACTGGCCAGGTTGCATTTCTCACTCTTTTTTTTTATATATATAAATATATTTTATTGATTTTGTACAGAGAGGAAGGGAGAGAGATAGAGAGTTAGAAACATCAATGAGAGAGAGTCATCGATCAGTTGCCTCTTGCACACCCCCTCCTGGGGATATGCCCACAACCAAGGTACATGCCCTTGACCGGAATCGAACCCGGGTCCCTTCAGTCCCCTAGCCAACGCTCTATCCATTGAGCTAAACCAGTTTCGGCCATTTCTCACTCTTAATGACTTCATTTGGCCATCTTTTTGGTGAAAGGTGAGTTAATTCTAAACTGCTGGAATGGGTATGCAAATAAATGCAGCTTGCAAAACACTGTACATGAAATAATCAGTGGATATGGTTCAAACTGGATGGATAAAGAACATTACTATTAGGAGGGAGAGACAGCTTCTTTGCTTATTCATTCAGTTAATTTCTGAGGATTTATTTTCTTTCAGAGACCAAGTGTTGAGTAGATACAAAAGTAAATAAATACGACACACTTCTGCCCTAAGAGTGCGGTCTAGGAAGAGAAAAATTAAACATTTTTACATTGTGGTAATAAATACTTTGATAGACACAAACAATGGCCTGTAGGTTCCCAGAGGGAAATAACTCAATGCAAACATGGAGAAGGGTGAGGGGGTGTACAGTTCTGTTGAATTCACCTTTCTTAATAACCACTTTAAAATATACCAACTCAATCCATACAGCAAACTAAAGACCAATACAGTTACCATTTAAGATCCTACACAAGATACACTGAGTCTCCTTTGGCAGGTGCAGAGATGTGCTGTTTCAGAGGTGCTCCTTCAAGAATGAAATGACTGCTCCAGCTGTCCTGCTCTTCACCAGCCCCCGGCCAATGACTGAGCCAGGTGGTGGGGGGTACAGGGGCCTAGTCATTCCCTTGGACATTGTGGCTGCAATGAGCAGTTTTCCTCAGGAACTTCCCATCGGGCTGACGGAGACTTCGGCAGGTCGGCATTATAGTCTGACAGTTCTCCCTCCCTGATCCCCTCCACCTCCCCCATGTTTTTAAAAATCTCTGTTGTTGAAAGTATTACATATCTCCCCTTTCTCACTCATTGACCCCTTCTAGCCCGACCCCTGACCATGTTTTTGTTTTTCACTTTTAAAAATATATTTTTATTTATTTCAGGAGGGAAGGGAGAGGGAGAGAGAGAGAAAAACATCAATGATGAGAGAAAATCATTGATAGGCTGCCTCCTGCACACCCCACACCAGGGATTGAGCCCACAACTGGGCATCGAACCACGATCTGGTTCATAGGTCGATGCTCACCCACTGAGACACACCAGCCAGGGTGCCTTTCCCCCAACCCCCAATTTTTCTTAAATATATATTTATTGATTTCAGAGAGGAAGGGAGAGGGAGATAAAAACATCATTGATGAGAATCATTGATCGGCTGCTTCCTGCATGCCCCCTACTGAGGCTGGAGCCTGAAACCTAGGCATGTGTCCTTGACTGGAATCAAACTTAGGACCCTTCAGTTTGCACTCTATCCACTGAGCCAAACCAGTTAGCCAGTTTTTAACAACTGTTATTCCCCAATAAAACTTTTGATCTCCTATGTCTCAGCATCTGCTTCTCAGATATTTTAACCTTTATCACTCCTAAAAAGGCCTAGATTCTACTAACATATTTTCATCTCTCAAACTCCTACTCCTGGGACTCTGGTTACCATCTCTTGGACTTCTCAGTAAACCAAGGAACATCTGTTTCCTGATTCCAAAACAGACTTCCTTTCTATGTTCTTCCTTGTCTTTTCTAATGTTTAATTTAATAACAGATTGTCTAACCCTAGTGGACATATTTTGCTTTTGATCATAAAAAACTTAGGTCCATCAGGTGTGGCTCAGTAGTCATGGTTTGATTCCCAGTCAGGGCCTCCAACTTGATCCCCAGTAGGGGGCCTGCTGGAGGCAGTCCATCAATGAATCTCAGCATCGATATTTCTCTCTCTCTCTCTCTCTCTCTCTCTCTCTCTCTCTCTCAAATCAATAAAAATATATTAAAAAACAAAAACACAGCCATAACCAGTTTGGCTCAGTGGATAGAGCATCAGCCTGCAGACTGAAGGGTCCCAGGTTTGATTCCGGTCAGGGGCATGTACCTTAGTTGCAAGCACATCCCCAGTGGAGGGTGTGCAAAAGGCAGCTGATCAATGTTTCTCTCTTATCAATGTTTCTAACTC